TCCTTTCAGTGTGGGTTTTGTGTTTTGTTTTCCTTTATCATACTTTAAAACCTTTCTCAAGTTTCATTTTCAGGACTTTACCCTACCTCTCAGCTTAAAATGCAAACAAAACCAAAAAGTTTCATAATCAATCTACTTTCATCACAAGCCCTGTTCATTTTTACTCTCATTCTTGTTCCTCCTTTGCCTAAAAAGTACATGTAATGATATTCTGATCTGGATGTCCTAGAGCACCTTCAAGAACCCAGGGTCAGCTCGGTGTGGTGCACACCTATAATGCAAGCACTGGGAAGGAGTATTGCCTTGGCTACATAAAGAGTTCAAGGCCAGCCTGATCTACAGAGCAAGACCCTATTTCCAAAAAACAGAAAGAACATGTTGGGGGTGAGGGGGAGGAAGACGAAGAAGAGAAGGAATAAATAGCATCATAACAGTGAACAAAAAAAAATATATATATCCTACTCAAACATCCATCCTAATAGATGACAGTAGTGATTATTATGTATGTATAAGGTGATATGGAATGAAAAAACACTCGTGAAAAGGATGCTCATTAGGTTTGTTGGTGGGGTGGCTGAGAGATGTTACAATGATTGGGCGAGCCTCAATGAATAATGAGACTTGATCTAAGACTGAAAAGTGGTGAGGAAGTTATGCAAAAGGCCAGGTGTAGTGGCACATGCCTGTAACTCCAAATACTCAGGTGGCAGGAAGGCCAGTCTGGGCAACTCAGTGAGACCCCACCTCACAATTTTTAAAAACCTGGGTAAAACTCAGCGCTACCTGGATTTTATCCTCAGTACAAAACAAAAAACCACACAAAAAACATTGTAGCCAGAGTGTCTGGCATGTTCAAAGAACAGTGCATGGTCCAGGGAGATAACTCAGTAGAGTAAGTGCTTGCCTGGCAAGCACAGGGTCCTGAGTTCGATGCCCAGTAACACACACACACACACACACACACACGCGCGCGCACGCACACACGCACACACACACCCTCCAAAAAAAAAAAAACCAGTGCAAAAGGAAGTCAATGTGGCAGGGATGAATAAGAGAAGCAGGCATATTCCATAGGGCCTCGAAACACTGGTAAAGAGACAGTTTTTACTTATAGAGCCATTTCAGCTTCAACAGTAATACATGCAATTTTAAATTAGATCTCAGCCTCAAAGGCTGAACATAAGAACAGACTTTAGGGGCAAGGATAGAGGTGGACAGACCAAGGAGGCTGACAGAACCAGTAGCTGCCTAAAACAGAACAACAACAGGACAGATTTTTGAGAAGTGTATTTTGGATGTATTTTAAAGAGAACCAAACTATTTTAGCACACTGGCGGTAGGTTAGGAAGACACTGAGTTGCCAAGGATAGCAAGGAAACTCAAGCACAGTGAGGTAAAGCCCCAAATGACACTTTGCTACAGATGTTCCAATAATTATGATTTGTGGTCTTGTCACATTTTAAACTCTCTTTGGTCTACTATTCCACTTCTCCCATCTAATCACAAAAGCCTAAACTGAACAATTGTTGCTGACAGACGAAATTTTTTCTTTAAAAAACTATGGACATGACTGGTAGGGTTGAGAGTTCTAAATAATGAACAGAAACCAAAGTATTAAAGCAGCAGCCAACAGAGCAATTATTACTGTCACTATTGTTAAGTGGTCTTCTCATTTCCCCAATCTCTGAATGAGTTCATGAGAAATAAAACCTGGGAAGCAAACGAGTCAAACACGAATTTTAAAAACATAAATAATCTAAGAATACATTATACAAAGCACAAGGACATAACAAGTTCCTCAGTAGCTTTCACAGAAGCCTACCCAGACTACCTTAATCACTGAAATTCTACAGGACTCGCTTTACAACTCTGTGTGTAGGGGACAGGACAGATTAAGGAAAACATGGAGACACATGCCCTGTCTCAGTGATTTAAAGAAATGTAACTATTACTGATGTTCCATGAACTCTCAATATTTTTAGTACTAGTACTAGTATTTGCCTGGAATATTTTTCAAGATATAAGAAAGACAATCTTGGGCACATCAGCTTTTGATTATACTGGAATCAAGAATTTTTGAGATGTAATTTTAAGATGTTTATTAATAATCTAACAACCAAATTACATCACTCAGTACCTCAAGATACTGATTCCAAGACACCTACAGACACCACATTCTAGGGATGCTAGAGACCTGCATTTGAAATGGCCTAGTATCTGCATATAATCTATAAACATCTTTGCATACACTTGATGTCATCTCTAGATTACTTGTAGTACCACATGCAAAATAAGTGATATGTAAATAGCTGTTCAGGGGATAATCACATGCTCAGTGCAAATGTAAATATTTTTCTTGGAATATTTTTATTATTACAGTTAGATAAATTTACTTAGAATGATGTCTTTTCTGCTGGATGGTGGATAACTGGGGGCATGACTCAGAAGGATGTATTTTCCTTCTCCTTTCTCCACTTCCAGGCTGTCATAGGTTGAACACCTTTCCCTCCACTTTGTCCTTTCAGTCTGAAATCATAAGCCAAAATAAGCCTCTCCTCCTTTCAGTTGCAGGTATCAGGTATTGGGTCGAATGACAAGAGACTAAAATAGATATACATATGTAGGTTTGTATACACACACACACTAAGTCCGCTTTCTTCTCCCAGCTTCTGATATGAGATGAATTTCCTCCAGAATATCTTTCACGGGAGATATTTCCAAGTAGTATTTTTAACATTTCTGATCTGCAGTTGGATGAATTCATGCATGTGGAACCCAAGGATATAAAGGGCCAATGGTAGGAATTCAGATAAACACAGGAATATCCAAAAATATATACATATATATATATGTATTTACATATACACATATATATGTATTTACATATACACATGAATATATATATATATATATATATCTTAAACCTATTCTCTTCCCCAGCCTCTGATATCACAGGAATTTCTACCAAAATATCACTGAACAGCAGGTAACTCTTCCACCCAGTGATTCTCAAGCCCAACTAACTGCATCTTAGAATTTCTTGGAGAGCTTTAAATAAACACATTAATACTAATGTCCTGCCCCAGATTTCTGATATATAGGAAGCAAAAGCAGTGAACTGCTGCTCAGATGAATCAAAGTAGTGTTTGTTGAATTTGGGAGACACATAATTCGTTTAAATTATAACTCGGAACTTCTAAATTTAAAATACCATCATCCTAAGAACGGGATTCTGGGATGAGATCACACTACAGCCTTAAGAAAGTGTCTTAGTGTACTCTATACCAGTGGTGGTAAACTTATGGCATGCACACTGAAGTGAGCTGTTTTTATCACTGAAAGCTCTAAAAGGTTTGCCATCACTGCTCTATACACTCTCAAAGAATAACCTGAACTAAATTTCCAAATAGGAGTTTTCAGTCTTTTCAACATTCTCACAAAAAAAAAAAAAGCACAAACTTGATGACTGCCAGTGGATTTCTTTTAAATGAAAAAAGACACCGTTCAATTCCATTGTTCACAGGCAAAAATCTTAAGCCCTAGTGTCGAATACCTGGTTACAATTACTTTTCCCATTTCTGTATTAATTCATAGTAATAACACGCAGTTTTGTTCTTACAAATGGGAATCTTTTAAAAAAAATCTTATTTAAAATACAAAGCCTCTACCAAATATTAGTTCACAACATAAAGAAAAAAATGCTCACAATTTTTTACCTGCTACCATTGCAGAAAACTGAGCACCAGTTTTCTATAATAAGCTCATTCCTTCCTTTAAAATATAACATTAAATCTTTATAAAATATCAGGTATTTATTTCAGGTGCTTGGGGCTGTAACAGCTCTGACCAAAATATCCTTCTACTAGATGCTTAGTGATACATAATGTAAAAATACAGCTGTAGTTCAGACATCTAAACAGTAGTCTAAGATAACGAACGCCTAAATAACACTAGAAAAACCATATAGAACCTCAATTTACTAAGTATCTATTATAAACTATAAATTGTGTTAGTCTCTGAATGGTACTCTCATTTAATAAACCTACTGTTCTAAAACGATGAAGGTCCCAATTAGAAAATGCTAATGAAAGTCAAACAGTAAGAAAATTATTTCTTTTAGTAGTTTAATAAAGTTTTCCATACTACAGGGAATGCTCCACGCTTAAGTCAACAAGATTATATCAATTCATTCGTGCAAATAATCTTTTCAGATTAATTCAACTAGATTATAAAAGGATTTGAGGTTAAAAAAGAAAAATCAAGATATAAAAATACATCTCCAACCTCAAATAAAGTTGAAAATTATATAAACTATATTTTAAGCGTGATTCATAAACTACCGTTCTGAGAGTATTAGGCCACAGGGCTTATTGGTAAGACCATACTAATAAGACACTGCAAATCCAATAAGATAAAACACTAGGTGCCGTCTAATGAACCCTTGGCTTCTCTTAAACACAAACTTTAGCCCAAACCAAGTTATCCAGATCAATCATAAATTCATAGAATTGTAATTCAGGTCCATGCAAAAACGACTGGACCCAAAGCTGTCTAAAAACACAATTAAAGAGCGTTATCTGGAGAAGATAATGGTTCCAACCCTGCTACCATCCCCTAAGATAAACACAGATACACACGTGTGCATGTGCGTCTGTGCATGTGTCTATATATGCACGCACACACACATACACGCACATACACCAGTGATACCCTAGGGGCTGGATACGTTCTTAAAGGCAGCGCGGTGGAGGACAGCGTGGCGGGGTCCCCCTGTGAGTGTCAGGGAGCTGACTCGCGCCAGCTCCTTCCTCGCTCCAAAGAGAGGACACGATCGCAAAGCCGACGCTCCGGCTAGCTGCTCGGGCTCCCTGGACTGGCGAAAGGCCTGTGCGCTCGCTCCCTCGGCCCCGAGTCCGCACCCCGGCTCCCAGGCTGCGCGGCCCCGCCGGGCCCCGACCCCCCACGCCCCCACCGCCACGCGCCGGGCTGCCGCCGCTTACCGTCGATGTTCTCCCGGTCGCTGATGTGCTGCAGGTTGCAGCCCGTGTCCTCGCGGCTCAGGTCCGCGTCAGGCCGGTAGGACTCCAGGCGCGAGTGCGCGTTCCTGCGGAGCTTGGGGCTGGCCGACACGCAGCACGAGGTCGTGGTCCCCATCTTCGGCGGCCTGAGGCGCGGGCGGGCGCTGAGGGAGGCCCGGCCGCCGGGTCAGGAGCGGCGGCGGCGGCGCGGCCTCGCCATGGGCGGCAGCCCCGGCTCCCCTCGGCCTCCGGCGCCCGCCCGGGCCCGCCCTATCCCGCCGGGATCGACTTCGGCCGCCGCGCGGAGCTCACCCCGCCGCGGCCATGGCGGGCGGCACGCCCAGGTCGCCTCTGCGGGTTCCCGGTCGGCGTGCGGCTCCGGGGACGGCTTCGGCAAACGCTTCCGACACAGGGCCCGGGATAAGCGGGACGCGCGGAACAGTAGAGCGAAGGGCCGGGCGCGGCTCTGGGCCTAAGGCGCGAGGCAGGTGAGGTGCGGGGGAAGCCGAGCGGCGAGGAGGATACGCGCCCCCGCGGCGGCGCCGCCCCGCCCCTGGCCCCGCCCCAACCGCGCGCCCCTCTGCCCCGGAAGCTCCGCCCTCCCCGCTGCCCCGGAAGCAGATCCGACGGGGGCCGCAGGTCTTTCCTCAGAATGTTGATGGCGCTTCAGAACGAGACAAGTGCTTGGTACCCCTGCGCCGCCGCCGCGGAGACCAGGTCCGGGTGGGGGAACACGAACCCGACGCGGCGCACTGAGGCGGGGTGACACAGTGTTGCTGTCGTTTGCGTGTGTAAAGGAGTTGGGCCCTGATTGGGAAGGACTTTTACGCGTGGAGGTTTGCTGAGGCCCCGACCGTGACCTGGTCCCAAGCCTGGGGTAAGCGTTGGAGGCCCCAGGGATTTCAATGGTGAATTAGGTACTGAGAATTTTCAGTTCTGGGGGGAAAGTGAAGGAGACCCCTGTCTTTGGTGTCCTGTGTCCACACCAAGACTGCCGTAGGGGGCCGGACGACTGTTTTTTCATCCCCTTCCAGCTCACGGCTCCCTGTGCTGGGAGGAGTGTAAAGTGAATGGAACAATTCCTCATCCCTTTCCCAAGTAACAGTGAAATCATGTGAGGAGAGGTCTGTGTGCAAGATCTAAGCGGCCCGGGCTCAAATTTTCCATCCAGCTTCAGCTTCCCAGCCTAAGTAGTGGGTTGACAGGCGTGCACAACTATACCCGGTTTCTCTCATAAGACCTCAAATTAAATGTTATAGTTTAATACGTTATAAATAATTATAAATAAACGTTGTAACATAAATGTTATAATTTGGGGATCATATGGGAAATTGGCCTAGGGGTACACTACCAAGGAGCTACATCTTCATCCCTTATGAGACAAAAACTCACTAAATTGCCTATGAGGCTTTCAATTTTTTATTTTCCTGTCTCAGACTCCAGAGGAGCTGGAATTACAAGTGTGCCACGACTTCTAGCTTGAATTTTGTAAATGCCTTGTGGGTATACTACACACATGGGTTAATAATTGGGTGCTTACTCTTACACGGTACCCCAATTATAAAGCAGAAGTTAGAAGAGACAATATGGAAATCCCTCTCTCTATTTTCAGCCACTTTACCCCATGTTGTAGCCCAGAAAATCTGAACATACACCTTCTCTGGCTTGCAGGTATGCCCCAAATCACAGTTTGCTAAACAGCGTAAAAGTTAATACAGCCCTAATTACTGTCCTGTTGCTAAGTACCCACCCTCCCCAGGATTGCAGTTCTTTAGTCCTCCCTTTTACATTTTCTTCATTAGGTCAGTGACATTAGTTCAATTCAAACTTGAAGCTTTTTAAAATATGGACTAATAAATGTGTAAACAATATACAGGGGCCGGGGAGATAACTCAGTAGAATAAGCACTTGCCTGGCAAGCTTGAGGGCCTGAGTTCAATCCCTGGTTACAACAACTACAACAACAAAAAATCCATAATGGAGAGATAGCATAGGTTTAGAAAAAAAAAAAAAAAAAAAAAACACTAGATACAGAGGATTAAATATTTAGGAAGCCTCTAGCAAGATGGCCTATACATTGCTAATGCTAGATAACTATCAATTCCCTTCTGTTTTAGTGTCTGGATGTTGCCAGACATGGTGGCACACCCTATAATCCGAGCACTCTAGAACCTGAGGCAGGAGGATTGCTCCAAGTTCAAGGCCAGCCTGGGGTACATAGTAGTTCAGGGTCAGCCTGACAAATACGGCAAGACCCTGTTTTAAAAAACCGAAGTGAAAGAGACCGAAAGGTATCTGGCTGTCTCAAAAACAGAAACAAAAAACTAGGTATTGGGCTCAGTGCACGGCTTTTAAAAATTAAAAAAAAAAAAAAAAATATATATATATATATACATACACACACACACACACGCAGAGAGAGAAAAAAAAGCATGTAGAGCACAGCTCTGGATTCTGAGGCAGGTCATTGGGCAGTGTTATCAAACAGTGGCACATGGAGGTGGAGAAAACATGTCTGGGAGTCATCCTTGCTAGTAGATAGTACAGCCACTGGTCTGCAGTGATTGTTCTATCCCCCACCCTCTAGTAACTTCATGCGCTTTTTGACATTTCAGCCATAATCTTAGGAACACACCTCTTTTGACTTTCAAGTGATTTTGGTCACAGGCCTGAAAGAGGAAAGACAAGCACTAGGGTCCCCATAGTAATTTATCTGGGTGCCTACCCTCCCACTTGAACCCACACATACAAGCACACACTTCAGACTCTAGGCAGAAATGCTCTTTGACACTGTCACTTCAAGAAAAATTGCAGAGCACTAACCACCTCTTAGCAGAGGTAATATAATCCAAAATGAAAGGTGTTCTTTGTTGAACTGTCTGCTAGATGCCACACAGGACTTTTTTGAGTTGAGATTTTTGTTACTGTTTGCTTTCACATTTTTGTACATCTAAGCCTATTCTGTTACCCACAGACATTACTGCTGTTAGGTAAATCTGCCCAAGGTCAAAATACTAATAAATAACTAAGAATTTGAATCTGGTTTTGATTACAAAGTCCAAAAGAACCTATTCAGCTGCATTTATTTCTATCTTCTATCCACACCTGAAAACAGATGGGAAAGATCTACATTTATGAGTAAAAGGGACTAGTGTTGCTTCTTTTTCTGTTCTGAAGGAAGCTAGAAGCTTGCTGCTTATGAGCAGATCTAGAATGTGAGTGGAAAGATAAAGGAACAAGAGAAGTCTTGTTATTTCTGTGAGGTTCAGCCCTGTACAGAGTAAAAAAACAACCAACATCACTTCTCAGCTTTTTGGCTAAGAACAAGTGTAGAAGACAGGCAACAAGGTTGAGGTGCAACATTAGGTAGAAATAACAGGCACGTCTAATTACAGCATCTACAACACTCACTTGTGAATCAGTGCAGGTGCAGTCCCTCAACAGGGGATGGATCTAGTGCAGAATGGGGAAGGGTCAGCATTGCTACAAGTCCCTGTCCTCAAAATATGGAAAAAGTTATCCTTTATTTGCACCCACCTGCCTTTTTTTTTTTTGGGTGGGGGGCAGCTTATCCCACCCTGGGGGCAGGCCTGGTGCAGCATGTGGTACTGGGGATTGAACTGAGGTCCCTGTGTGCTTGCCTAGCTTTACCCCCCTGAGCTATCTCACCGTTCCCCCACCCCAACCTGCTTTTTGAGCAGAAAAAAATCTTGGGTAATTATATTCTTTCTCATAATCAATTCCAAACTTTGGTCATTGTAAGGAAGTAAATATATAGAAGTTGGGGGACTAGCAAAGTCACTTTGTGGGGAGTACTACAGTACTGATTTTTAACAAAATTTTCTGAGGAATTACACTTTTAAACTATAGACAATCAACATTAGTATTAGCTTTATAAGATGTACTTATAAAAATAAGTCAGGAAAAAAAAATAAAAAAAATAAAAACATAGGCCGGGGAGATGGCTCAGTAGGATAAGCACTTGACTGGCAAACGCAAGGATCTGAGTTCAATCCCCGTTTCCACCAAAAATAAAAATAAAAAAAAATAAAAATAAGTCAGGGATAATAGACTACCTTAATTGAATCAAGTAGAGAATAATTACATCTAACACATTCATCAACATACACTATGAATCAATCATTTGCACTACCCCTGAGTCCTCCACACCCCTCAGAACACAGGAAACACTGATCCCACAACCCAGGGCCTTTGGTCAAAGAAAGAAGGAAAATGCATGGGGAGGGGCTGCTTCTTAGGGTACAGCTTTCCTTTGCTTATCACCTTGATATCCAGTTTCATGTATCAATTATCAAATGTTTCTAAAGCAAGAAAATATCGAGACCTTCCGTGTTGTACAACTGAGGCACTTCTCTTACCCTCTTACTTTCCCATAAACTCTTTGCTATGTCACTGTATAAGGCCTCCACTTGGTACTTTATGGGAAGCAGGACAGAGTGCAACCAGCTATGGAGGAGGTGTTTACCTTTTTAAAATAAATATTTTATTTGGTACAAGGTCTCACTGTACAGCTTGGACTCATAGTGATCCTCCTGTCTCAGCCTCCCCAGTACTAGGATTACAAACATTTGCCACTACAGTATGCCCAGGGTTCCAGGGCTGGCACAGGGGATTGAGCCCTGGTCCTGTGCCTGCCAGGCAGGCGCTTAGACCACCAAGCTATCTCTCCATCCCAGAGGAGATATTTACTTTAATAGCCACTTAACCTTGACCAGTGTAGACAATTCATTTATTGATAAAACATGCCTTGAAAGTGTACTCAGCCAGATACTTTGGGGACACAAACATGGGTTATTTGTATTTCTCACCCTTGAGAAACTCAGGCCAGTAAGGTAAACAATTACAAGAATGAGGTAGAACATGTCCAGCAGTACTTGCAAACAATTAAGTGGTGCAGTCTAAAAAGAAATACTAGCCTGTTACCTATACATAACTACATTTATCCCCTATAGATACAACTAAGATTCTGCTTTGTGCAACTTATTCTTTTGATGTAATAATATCTCCAGAGATGCTCTGTCAGAATAAAAATTCCCACAAGAAAATACAGAAAGAAAACAACACTAAGTCTTTTGGATCAAGAATGTTGTATTGAAAAGGATTCTGAGGTCATGTTCTAGCTCAGAAGGAAAGAATGCTGCCCTGTGGGAAACTGCCAAGATGGCACTTATTCTACAATTTGTATCCATGACCAAAATCTTTGTTT